GGCTTAAAAGGTAACTTTCTCGATTATAAATATAGTCCATTTGGATCATTTTGTATGTGTCTATTCTAGAAGAAAGAAAGATCACAGTAAGTGACAAAATCCCAATATCACCTCTTATGTTCCTGAGGGGATCGCCTTGAAGTTTCTTAAATCAGTCATTCCCATTGGCGGAGATCTCAGTGATAACTCAGAAATATCCATTTACGAGTTGTCCTCGCTAGGGTGAAGAAAGATGAGATGCACAAATCTATGTAAAGAGAGGGCATCAATGATTGTTCTATCTACCTCCCCCCCCCCCCCCACCCCCGAGAGAAACAACACGAAACCCGCGCACGTATTCTCTGGGAAAAGTGTGCGAGTGTCTGGTAGGTGTGTTGTTCTTATACTCAGTTTAATTTAAAAGGTTATCCAAAATAAACTTAATTTTGCAAAAGTTATTTCAGCCAGAATCAGGGAAGATAAAAATGAATAATTACATTATAAGTATTTCACAAATTCATATTCTCTGTTTGCTATTGTATTGTTTAACTTATGTGGAAAAAAATACATAGATAGGAAAAAGTTTTTGTTAAGTTTTGTTGGAGGTAGTTGCGGTTCGGTTTAGTCGCCTGGTGTTCTTTGAAGTGTTCTTTTCTAAACAGGATTCCTGCAGGTCGTTAAGTGACCTTAAAAAAAGTAAGCTTGTACAAAAGGCAAGTAGTCTTGTACATCATTTGGTTTGTAGTTATAAATCAAAGAAGCTCTTTCTTCTTCTTCACTGCAGAATCTATGAGTCCTGTGGCGCGCTGCAGAGAACAGATAGAAATTACAATCATGATTACAATTAACGATTTTATTAGCAATTTCGTCTCACAGTCTGCCATACAATTCTAATGGTGCTAGGTTTGGGGTATTTGGTATTGGATCAGCTAATTATCCCCCCTATTGATAATGTTCTTTTTTTAGGCTCATCACTTGTCTGCTTGATATTATATTGACATTGTGAGGAGAAAGTCTGTCCTGGTTATCCCACGGAAGTAAAGCCAAAGTATCTTTTTGCGTAATCTTACAAGCTCGGAACAGAAAATGTCTAGATCGAAGTACTCTCATCAGTTTACGGTGCTACAAAATTTACACACTATACGATATAAAGAATGATTCCAACTTAATTTGATTATTAGCAAAACAAGCGGGAAAATATAATGAAGAGTTCAAATGTAATTCGTTGTTCGTT